TTTTTGGCTACTTAAGCAGACGGAAAGTGTCTGAAGAAGACCAGTCCTGGCCACACACTCGTTTGGCTTCGAGTGGCCATCCTACTCTTCACCACTCCTCTTCGTTGCTGCAGAAGTGCTTCATCTTTAGCTAGCTATTACCCCCTCCCCCCTTACCGTCAAATAAAGGCTATTTCTATTCCCCAACCTCTGTTTCTGCTTGCTTGAGCTTCTTTCCTAGCTCGCTCCTCTCTTAGGTAGCAACAAACAGGTTGCCCTCTGTTCTCCTTGGGGTGTAGCTGCTGGCCACCATCACACATATACCACTGTAAGCAGTGTGATTTACTACTCACGCACTCTGCCAACTGTTTCTAACCTAGTGGCAGGTGTTATAATCTTTGAATGACAGCAAAAGAAAAAGAAGCGGAAAAGAAAGGCGGATAAATAAAGACAGCAATTAAAGTGTGTGTGTGTGTGTGTGTGTGTGTGTGNGCTGATGCATTCTTTGAAGATGCTTTTTGAGATATCTTTTAATTGTTAAGGTTTGCTCACAGGTGGAGCACTGAAATGGCCGAGTGTCGCTGGTGTGAACTGGTTGGTGCCGGGTGAGATCAAATTTAGTAAAAAAAATGCTTTAGAGCAAACCGCTCACTGGTGAGCCATTGGTATGCCGGTGTGCACCGATTTTTGGTGTCTCTTGAGGTTTCCCTTCTGCCCAAAGGATTTGGAACAGCTGGGGCACTGGTAAGCCTTAATGCCAGTGTGCACCACTTGGTGTATCTTAAGAGAGACCTTCTGTGTAAAAGATTTGTCGCACGTAGAGCAATGGTAGTTTTGGGCGCCAGTGTGCACCACTTGGTGTACCTTGAGATGAGATAAGCGATTAAAGCGTTTGTCGCACTGCTGACACTGGTGGTTTTTAGCTGGTCGGATGCCGGTGTGCACCACCGCCTCGTGTCGTTTCAGAGCACCCTTCTGCGCAAATGTTCGCGAGCAAGCCGTACACTGGTGATCCTTATTGCCGGTGTGCACCAGCTGGTGCTGTTGGAGATTACTTAACGTTTTGAAAGACTTCGAGCAATTCGAACACTTGTGAGCTCGAATGCCGGTGTGCACCAGCTGGTGTTGCTTGAGATTAGATGGGCAATCAAAGCGTTTGTCGCACTGCTGACACTGGTGGTTCTTAGCTCTTCGGTTTCCCTGAGGGCGACCATTCAGCTGTTGTTGTTGTTGTTGTTGTTGTTGTTGTTGTTCACCAGATGATGATGCACCTGAGTTTGAGCCTCTGGCTGCGGTGACCACAGGTTCGGTGCTTTGCTGCGATTCTAAAGGGGGGAAAAAGTGTGTCAGTCAAAGTGTATAATCTGTGAATGAAAAACAAAGATTACTGACCACTGAATGCTCTTGCTGGAGGACTATAGTCCTCATCAATTTCAGTGCTGGCATCTGAATCCGTCTCGTCCGGCTCTTCCGTGACTTTCGCTGCCTCACTTCTTTCATTGGCCTTCTGTACTGCAGAGAAATCCTGGTGCAAAATGAAAGGAAACGCTTCATCATACATATGAATTGCAGATTCATTCTGATCTTCAGTTTTCACCACAGATCCTACAAAGGTAATATGAGTTAAATGAAAACTGTGTACAATTAAATCATCCACTTACCATTGCCTGTTGACTGTTCAACA